GCGGACTCGCACGGCCCTGGGTGCCCCCCCCTCCACCCCTTCCCCCCGGGCAGGTTAAAGGGAAAAAAAAAAACCCACCAACAAAAAAACCCCCATATTTGGAACCGAAAGATGAGGCATTAAAAAACTGAAAAGCAAACAAAAACCTGTAGGGCTGAGCACCTCCTGGGCGGACTTCTTAAGAAAAATACGGAAAGAAAGAAAGATCGTTCGTTTGGGTTTGGGACGGCGGTTAGACATCTGGAAGAAAGGAGGGACCAGCACCCAGTCCTGCGCCCGGCCGACCAGGGGAGCGGCTCTGATGTTCTTTTTGAACTGCTCCACTTTCAAAAGGGGGCAATTTCGTTACATTCTCATTTGTTACACTGTCTTGAACTAAAGGCAGACAAAGCTATACTCTGTCACCCCGAGCAGAATGAAGGGAATCAAAGGATTTTCCCTTAAAAGGACTAATTTTCTCCTTGAATTATGAAAGTAATGGCTAGGTAACAGCCTGTGCTCTGTACCCAACTGCTTAATTCCTTCTAAATCCTTCCACGTGGCTCTCCCAGTCGTAGCAATTAGAGCTCATTATAGGCTCATAAGAGCTCTCATTTCGGGGATTACTTAATGGACAATGAAATTTTATCGGACAGAATTATTGAAAAATAAAATTGTAACGAGGCCGATGTGATGTGGGCGCACGCCTTGCATCATTCCGCCTGGTTTGGGATATCTTTGCTTTCAAATGACTTCTTTTCTTCCTCCGGCTTTCGGGGGTGGGTTTTTCTTTGTGAGTTGGTTGGGTTGTTTGTGGTTTGGTTGGGTTTTTTTCTCCCCCTCCCCTCTTTTATCACTGGACTTGGTTTATTATAACAATTACAAATTGCAATTTTGATCCGACTCTTGCTCTGTCCGCCTTCCCTGACGACAGCCCCCTCCCCAGATCCACTCTATCACTGCAGATGGGTTTTTTTCCACTGAGGTCGATGGGGATGTTTTTTCTTATTCTTCTCCAGAAGAGCCTCTCGTAAAGGGAATCGTAATAATAGTCATAACAAGAAACCGCCGGATGAATTGTGTTTTAAACGGGGAGAGCCGGGCAAAATCCCGCGCCTGGGCGCTGTGACCGTGGCCAAACTGTCCCC